GAGATGGAGGGGGTAAGGCTGGGGACAAAAGGGCCATCCAGGAGGCCACCGCAACAGTCCAGACAAGTGACAGCAGCCGGGGGCACAGTACATAGACAGACACTGGACGAATCCTAAAATTAGACCAACGGGATTTCCAAGGAGCCACTATGGTCCTGAGGTGTTGATCCTGAGCAGCTGAAGTGAGCAGGTCGTCTTCGCCTAGGATGGAGGAGCTGCGAGTGAAGGCGGTGGTGGAGGAAGAGAGGAGCTGGCTTTGGATGGATTCAGTGAGACAGATGGAGATGTGGGAACGGTGGGTGGTACCAGCGTCTGTGGGCTCGGGGACTGGCCAAGCTTTTGGTGATTGTCCCATTTTGCAGGTGAGGAAAATGAGGGTCCTGCAGAACCTTAAAAGGAGCAGCCAGGACTCAACTTTGGCCTCTGGCTCCACAGTCACTCTCTTCTCACAGCTACGGGCACCAGGCTGCTGACCACTCCACCCAGCGGATCCCTGGCCAGCTTCCCTGTCTTCAGGGCGGAGCCAGGAAGGAGCCTCTGCTTGGAACACAAGTGGCACAAGTGCCAAGTGGCCCGAGGCGCCAGCGGCCCCAGGAGTGCAGCTGGCCTGGCCCGAGGCCGCCATCCACGCAGCAGAGAGCATTCGGTTAGCATTGATTTCTCAGAGAAGAGCATCTGGCCAGGCTGGGGGCAGGGGAGGGAGCGCTGAAGGCCAGAGAGACTGGCTACACAGCAGAGCAGCCTGCAAGCTTCAGAGAGACCCACTGACCCGCCCAGGAGCCATGAGGAAAGTAGCCATGAGGCTGTCCCTACTACAGGGGTGGGAGGGAGGACAGCCCCTTGGGTGCTACACTGGAGTGACTGTCATGACCATCTGGGACCTGAGAAAACTGACCAGCCCTATTTGAGGCTGCTCTGCCCACTCCTGGACAGGGAGCTGAGGCTAGAGTCCCAGCCTGAAGGCCCCGCTGCTGTGTTCTCCAGCTGTGGCCAGCTGCTGATGCTCTGGGGACCTCATTTTCTCCTGTGTGAGTGATGCTGCTCCTACGGGGTTATAAGCGCTTCAGTTAAAGGCCTTACTCCCAGAGGCAGATCTTCCTCACCAATTCTCCCACTTCTGGTGGCCAGAGTACCGCAAGGCCCCCACTACACTGGATTGTGTGGCCTAAGTGTAGCAGACAGGCCCTGTTGGTGTTGGTCCCAGTGCCAAGCTCTCTGGACACCCCAGCCCTGGCTTTCTCCATCCCAGTCTTTCTCGGAGGCTCTGCACCATTAGAGGGGATGGGAAAATGCAGGCTCACTTTTCCAGCTTGGCACCTTGGCATGTGCTATCCTGTTGCCTTTGCCTTGCCGCCCATCCCACCAGGTCTGTTCCCGTGGGACCATTCATAGGCACAGCTAGGGAGGTGGCTGTCTATGCTCAGCTTGGCAGGAGTTTGGAGTTTGCAGGCTGACCACCTCTCTTACCTGCATGTCCTCTGTGCTGAGTGATATGCTTAGGTCTGAGCTGACTCCCCTCACAGCTAAGGCAGGGTCCCTCTCAGCCCAGTTCATGGGTCAAATACTCTGGAAGGTTGAGGAACTGCTGGTGTTGCACAGGGGAACCAGTGACCAAACAATGCGGACTCCTAGCCCAGGGGTAGCAGAGGCTTTCCTTTAGGCCCCTCCGTTAATCTCCCCTATACTCCCAAGGTCCCTCCGTGGGCATTGCCACCCCATATGCAAATGATGCCGATTGCCAGGCCCTTCCAACAGTGGCTTCTGTGACTTTCCCAGGCTCGGGGGCAAGTGTGAATGGAAGGAGGAATGAATGAGGCTGTGTAGCTGCTTGGGGAGCTCATGTGCGTGGGAGGCTGGAGGTCTGGGCATCGGGAAGCAGAGCGCAGTGAAGGGCATCCCCTGGAGAGGAAGGCAGGGAGAGCTGGGTCTTCTCCTTTCAGCCCCCTCAAGCAGAAGGCAGCCCCACCCAGGAAGGGCCTGAGGAGTCTCAGGAGAGGCGCAGGGCCCCTCCACAGAGACTTGGATTCCTGCTAATTTGCAGTCTTGAAATACACAGCAAAGGTTCCATCCTCATTGTTGGTACATTAATCAGGCAATCAGTGGGGCAGGGCTCCCAAGGGCCTCATGGAGGGGGCACAGAAGGTGTCATGGTGATGCAGTGTCTGCCTCCCTGGGATGAAATCTGCTGGATGACAATCCTAGGACAGCACCCTGCTGGTTCAGACAGGAGGTCAAGAAGGGGCCAGGGCTGGCTGGGACACTTAGTCCAAGGTCTTGAAGTAATACCACTGGTTTTCAAAGGCGTGGATGCAAACTTGGCTGAGCCCCTCAACATCTCCCTCCCATTAGAAGAGGTAGAGGTCCTGGAAAGCTACCCTTCCTGGCATGGGCCCTGGCATGTGGGAAAACATTAAAGAACAGGGATTAGGATGCTTCCAGAAGAGCCAGCCCTTCACTGCTCAGGAAGTGACCATCCCACATAGTCCTTGTGGTCTCATGACTGCCTGTTCTTCTTTGAGGTCACGGAGAGCTGAGCCTGGTCCTGCATCAGGTCTTGGCTAGAGTCCTTTGTCCTCCTGTTGCCCTCCTTGAGGGGAAACCCCAATCCTGCCTTCACCCTGTCCTGCTGTCTGCTTCTATCACAGTCCACTGTGGGTTCAGAAACTAGTTACTAAGCCCACACCTGAGATCTGGTGCGGTTTGATTTTTTTTTCCTAAACAGACCCTGGCCCAGTTTCCCCTGTGCACTGGTATTGCCTGGAGACCCCTACTTAAGGGTTACCCTGAGGACCCCCAAATTCTTCTGGGATACACAGAGACAGAGCAGCCACAGCATGTGGGAGAGCTCAGCACAAGGCAGGTTGAGGTTGCAGGCAAAAGCACTCTGTAAACTCTGATGAGCTGTACAAATGTTGAATGGCATTAGTGCTAAGCCCACTGCGGCCCCTCCCCGCCTGCAGCTGCAGGCCCAGGAGGAAATGCTTTATTTTCACAGGACCCCCAGTGGAGGCTCTGCTCTGTCTCCTTCATTCTAAGACGTGAGACAAGCATCGTGAATGTCCTTGAACCTGGAGTCTGGGCTTTCTCAGAGCGACTGGGCTAGGGCTACTCCTTGGGGAAGGTTCTGGCAAGAATAGCTTTCCGGGAAGACCTGAGCAGGAGAGAGGGTGCAAGCCGAGCAAGGGGATTAGAGGAGGCCTGTGGGCAGAGCAGCCAGTGTGGCTTGGATGCTGATGCCACAGGGCAGGCTGCCCTCCAACCAGCTAGGGTTTGGAGCCTCTCTCACCTTGCCTCCCTCTCTGCAGCACAGGAGTTCTTGGACAGAGGGTGGTAGGCGGGGGGCCACCCCCAGGATGCACGGAGGAAGACTGGCAGAGTAACGTCTCCTAGACATGCTTTGGAGAGGGAAATGGGGCAGGGGTGGCTATGGCCTGTGTGCTGTCTAGTGGCTGGGTGACAGAAAGCACCACAGAGGACCTGCAGAGTATGGCCCAGCCCAGAAAGGGTCCTATGCCATGCCGACACCGCCACAGAGGTCGTAATTGCTATGAAAACGCAACCGAACCCAATTATGCAGAAACTAAATTATGTGTGATGATTTTTATGTGCTGGAAACATTCAGTTGAAGCCGGGTGATTACAGGGGGACGAGAAGCAGCTGCCACTCTCTGGGAACCCATAGCTCCCAACAGCTGGGAGCTGTCACTTACGATGCTCTTTCTGTAGGGGTGGGGGGGTGATTGGGATGGCAGTCAAGGTGGAGACCCGCTTGGCCAGGAACCCGGGCAGCCCTTGTGCTTGGGTTGGAGTGGGTCTGGGATCCCGGGTGGGCAGGTTGGTCAGGTGGGTGGCTTCTTTCATCCCACATGATCTGGGCACAGCTGGTAGCAAGAAGACTCAGCTCATATGCCCTGGGCGCCCTGCCTCTCCCAAAAGTTCCAGCAGAACAAGCCAAGCAAAGCAGGGTAGGTCGTGGCTGCCTGTCCCTTCAGGGTGGGCGTCTGTAGGCCTGGAGCCTGGAGCCTGTCCCCATCTTCTTGACGCGCCTGTTGGGCCACTTGGGGCAGCTGTGACCCTGGAAAAAGGCAGGTAATGACAATCGTCCATAATGAGGCTGCTTCAATAATGAGTGTGGGCCTATTACCCGACCACAGGCTGGACACATCCGAAAATAATTATTTTAAGGATCCATTAACGAATGCCTAATTAATGCCCAATTAGAGGGAAGCTACAAAGGAAATGCTCTGGACAGTCAAGTGGCAAGGCCTGGTTTCACAGCCGTAGCCTGGCGAACTCAAGCAGGGTAGAGAGATGCAGAGGGCCAGAAGGTGAATCGGAAGGGGGCAGCCTCACTCTGGCAGACCCCAGGGAAGCCGCATGTGTCAGCGGTGGTGTCCCTCACAGTCCCTCGCAGAAACACGCCTTCTCTGTCCACCCGTTCAGCTCTGTGAACTGTATTAACAAATGAGGAAACTGAGGCACAGGGGCGGGGTTGTGTATTTGAAGTTTGGAATGCAACCCGAACGAGGCATCTTCTGAGATATGTTTTGGTGCCATGAATGCAATGCTTTACTTATTTTGAGGATCATTTGAATAAAGTGATCGTTCAGGACCCCAGATGGGCTATTTGCTTTGTTATAGTCGTACTCGTGAAGGCGGCTGACGGTGAGCAAGTGGCAGCGCCGGGACCAGAGCTGGAGGCTGCCATGCTGTGTTTGTGGATATGTTCCACCCAGCAGTAGGGCTGACGGCCTCCAGGTATTTGGATGTGGATTAGAGACTTTCAGGACAGAGCTTAAGAGGTGTGGAGATAATGTGGGCCTCGGGCCCAAATTTCTTGTCCAGTCTCCTAGCCTAGGCACCCCTGTGTACAGGACAGAAGACAGAACCTATGTAGGTCAAGAGGGTCATTCAGCAGTCCCCACTCCACCCTCCGTTCCCATGCATCTCCCTCTTCCCCCGGGCAGCCCCTCACAGCTCTTCTGTTTCTCTCCCCACTAGGGTGCTGTGTGGAATTGCTGCTGCTCCTGCTGCTGGCTGAGGAGCTACCCCTGGGTGGTGGCTGTCCTCGAGACTGTGTGTGCTACCCCGCACCCATGACTGTCAGCTGCCAGGCACACAACTTTGCTGTCATCCCAGAGGGCATCCCAGAGGACAGCGAGCGCATCTTCCTGCAGAACAATCGTATCACTTTCCTCCAGCAGGGCCACTTCAGCCCCGCCATGGTCACCCTCTGGATCTACTCCAACAACATCACTTTCATCGCTCCCAACACCTTCGAGGGCTTTGTGCATCTGGAGGAGCTAGACCTTGGAGACAACCGGCAACTGCGGACGCTGGCACCCGAGACCTTCCAGGGCCTGGTGAAGCTTCATGCCCTCTACCTCTATAAGTGTGGACTGAGCGCCCTGCCCGCAGGCATCTTTGGTGGTCTGCACAGCCTGCAGTACCTCTACTTGCAGGACAACCACATTGAATACCTCCAAGATGACATCTTTGTGGACCTGGTCAACCTCAGTCACTTGTTTCTCCATGGCAACAAGCTTTGGAGTCTGGGCCAAGGCATTTTCCGGGGCCTGGTGAACCTTGACCGGCTGTTGGTGCATGAGAACCAGCTACAATGGGTCCACCATAAGACTTTCCATGACCTCCACAGGCTGACCACCCTCTTTCTCTTCAACAACAGCCTCACTGAGCTGCAAGGTGACTGTCTGGCCCCCCTGGTGGCCTTGGAGTTCCTTCGCCTCAATGGTAACGCCTGGGACTGTGGCTGCCGGGCGCGGTCCCTGTGGGAATGGCTGAGGAGGTTCCGAGGCTCCAGCTCTGCTGTTCCCTGTGCGACCCCTGAGCTGCGGCAAGGCCAGGATCTGAAGCTGCTGAGGGCTGAGGACTTCCGGAACTGCACAGGGCCAGCATCTCCACACCAGATCAAGTCACACACGCTCACCACCTCTGACAGGGCTGCCCGCAAGGAGCACCACCCATCCCATGGTGCCTCCAGGGACAAAGGCCACCCACATGGCCATCTGCCTGGCTCCAGGTCAGGTTACAAGAAGCCAGGCAAGAACTGTACCAGCCATAGGAACCGAAACCAGATCTCGAAGGTGGGCACTGGGAAACAGCTTCCTGAACTACAGGACTATGCCCCTGACTACCAGCACAAGTTCAGCTTTGATATCATGCCGACCACACGACCCAAGAAGAAGGGCAAGTGTCCCCGCAGGACCCCCATCCGTGCCCCCAGTGGGGTGCAGCAGGCCAACTTGGGCACTTCCCTGGGGGCCTCGCTCCTGGCCTGGATACTGGGGCTGGCGGTCACTCTCCGCTGAGGACTCAGGACATCACTGCCCAGCACTGCCACACGTCCAGCAAGGAACAGAATCTTTTCCTCTTGTTTTGTTTTTTTTTTTCTTTTTAAGCGGAAGATCTGCTGGGTTTCAGGAAAAGGCTGCTAAAGCCTTCAATCACAGTCTGGACCCTTCCTGGTGGATTATAAGCTCAAAGTGTATAGCTCTAGAGAGGAGGGGTAGTTATCTTACCTGGTTGTCCTGGCCCAGCACCTACGGACAGCATCCACTCCAGCATGGTGGTCAAAGGCATACCCAGTGAATCATAGCCGTGACGGGACATATGCCCTGTGGAGAAGCTGGGCTCTGTGGAATCCTGGTCACTTGGAAAGAAGGGCCGGAGGACGCTGCTGTTTTGGGAAGGAGTGGACTCAGGACAAGGCTCCCGCAGAGCCAGCTGGGGCAGCCAGCCATCTCAGAGCACTCTTGCTCTTGCCTGAGGCCACCTCGTCAACCTGCCCAGTCCTACTTTGTCACCCTCAGTCCCTACCCGTGGGGGTAATGCCTCTCATTCCTGATGTCTCAGGCAGTCCTGGCAGACCTGCTGGGGTCCGAGAACCAATCACCAAAGGGAAGATCATCAGAGAATGACATTTAGAACTTTACTCGCAATGAGAGTCACACAGAAGGTGCAGTTTTATACCTGTGTCCACTTATATATACCCTCACACCCTACCCACACACCCACACAATATAAATATATATACATATATAAATATATAAATGCACAGCTCCCCTCCCACTCCTTACCAAACTGTATGTCTTATCATGTTTATAAACTATACGGGAACCTATATTTGCTCAACTACAGATTGTATTGGTAATTTCTAGCAAGGAAAAACAAAAAGCTGTGGCATTTTTGGTCCAAATCCCAGCTGGCAGCAATAGTCCCTGGGCTTGCTGGGGCAAAGGTGTCAGTGGGAAGATTGAGGAGGAAGAGAAACAGAGAATCACTTCAGGAGACCAACATTCTTAGCTACTTAGAACATCCCCTTGTTTTTATATGCAACACATGCCTGTCTGGCACCCTGGAGCACCCCCACTACCCCTCCTGTAGAAGCTACAGGCTTTGGGGTGAGATGTGGGAAGTAGCTTGTTGGATATCAGGGTGCTGGAGGCAAGCTAGGTGGAGCAGCAGAAAGGGCTTTGGGGGTTTTCCAGCCAGCAAATAAGGCAGCATCCACAGTGTTAGCCCAGTGGGTTGGATGGACAGAGTCCTTCTAACGTTTTGCCAGCGATGGTCTGGGCAGGTCAGGAGGCTCTGAGCTCTGACCTCAAGGAAGACTTAGCTGCAATTTTAACTCACTGGCTCTTTGGCCAGTGACCTGCTGAAGGCCCTGAATAGTTTGGCAATAGAGAAGACTCTAGTGGCCTTAGCATATGAGGGCATTTCAATAACCATCTCAGGCGCTCTTTGTTACAGAGGTCTTGTTCCTCCTGATTATTTTGGATATAATCCAGGACAGGCAGAGGTCAGAGGGCTAGACTCAGGGGTCAGAGCCCAACAGGCAGCATGCAGGGAACAGAGCAGGCAAGCCCAGTCAGGGAATAGGGGCTGCTGGCCCAAAGATCTCGGGCAGGCACAATCTCTTGCGCTTTGCACAAACCCGAATCCCCTACCAGCGAGGGTGTGTGAGGAGTAAGAAATGCTGAATCCAATTAAGAGAGAAAAATAATAAAAAAAAATTCTCTTGGACAAGAACCCTGTTTTCATTTCATAACCCCGCATTCCTGACGGGGTGGCAGATCCTGGGCTTTGGTGGGGTGGGCGAGCCTGGCCAGGCTTGACTCTGAGAAGACAGCATGCTTGTTGGCAGGGAGAGCCATAGGAACGGGGCACACTGACTCACAGGAACACACAAGAACATGCGCTCTCTCTCTCTCTCTCTCTCTCTCTCTCGTTCTCTCTCTCTCTCCCTCCCCCCCCCCTCATACACACACACACCTCTTCCCTCACCAGTATAGAACACAATTCACAATTCGCTTCCCACATGCTGGCTGCCCAGGTCAGTACCACTTCTGTATCTTTCCCTGGCAGAAGGGTTCTAGATCCTTCCGAGCTTGTTCCCAAGAGCCACGGCTGCTGATTCTGGGTGTCAGCAGAAAGACAACAGACAGTCCTTGGGCCTCAAGTCCAGGAACTGACCAGGACAGCAGAGGGCGAGGGCCTGGAAGCTGCCCCTGCCTCTCTGACATCACAGATGGAGAGCAGAGGGCTGTCTGTTTTTAGTATGAGAGTCAGGGCATTCACGAGGGGCCTCGTGCTGCAAAGCAAATAATGCCATCCTGCCACTGAGCCCGATGGTACCTAGGCCGATGCCCATATCCCTTAAAATTCAAGCAGGTTGTTATGTTGTTGATTTCATTCCCAACCCCAGGCAGCAAGGCCCTCAGTGGGAAAATCAAAAGTCTGAGCACTTTATTAAATTTTTAGGGAAAGACTTAGCAAGTCCTATATGGTAGAAGCGATTGTCAGCTAGAAGAACGGTAAAGTCTCCTAAAGGCTCTGCCGATGTGTGCCAGCATAATTCCCATGGCCGAGGCCTTCCAGGCTGGGCAGTGGGGCCCAGGACACTGGGTGTATTTTTAGTAGTTTTCTCCCCCAGGAGGTAGAAGGAATGAAGGCCACTGCTGATGACATCATCTGTCACACAGCGGCTCAGACTCTGCAGTTAGAATGATGCCATTGTTCCCAAATCAAAACCAGTTGACTCTGGGAGCAACTAAATGGAGACTCTCTCCAGGGAGTCAGGCCACTTTCCCCAGTAGCCATCGGGGCAGGGTATTATAGAGTCCTGCTCCCCCAAAGGCTCAGTCACCCCCTCCTGTCCCTAGTAAGGAACAGAACACTTCCTCTGTCTTTTTTTTTTTTTTTTTTTTTTTTTGAGACAGGGCCTTGAACTCGCTATGTAGCTGAGGCTGCCCTTGAACTCCCGATCCTGCTGCCTCTGTCTCCCAAAGTACCCACTCTTGGCTTGATGGAATTTTTAAAAGAGTGTTCGGGGGCCTAAGGCGGCTTGTTACTTGATAAAGCCCTTGCTGTGCAGATATGAGGACCCGAGTCCCACCCAATCCGCAGGATCTATGTAAAAGCTAAGCACAGTGCACTTCTGCAATCCAGCGCAGGGCAGGCAGGGCAGGAGGGGCCTTGGGACTTGCTGTCCAGGAAACGCCTTACGTTCCAGGTTCAATGGAAGACCCTCTCTCAAAAAATAAGGTGGAGGGCTGGCAAGATGGCTCAGTAGATAAAGACACTTGCTGTGCAAGCTTGATGACCTGAGTTCCAGCCACAGAATCCACACGAAAGTGGCAGAATACTGAACCCGCAAAGACCTCCTCTGACTCTGGGTGCCATAGCACCCCACTCACACAGCACAGAACACACTAATGGTGACAACAATACATTTAAACGAAAATAAGGCAGAAAGGGACTGAGGGAGAAACCTCTGACCTATATGTACAGCACATATATTGCATCCACACAAGTACACAAGAACACATCCCTGACATCCCCCATACCCCCAAAGCTTTTTTTAAAAATATTTATTTATTTATTTATTATGTATACAATATTCTGTCTGTGTATATGCCTGCAGGCCAGAAGAGGGCATCAGACGTCATTACAGATGGTTGTGAGCCACCATGTGGTTGCCGGGAATTGAACTCAGGACCTTTGGAAAAGCAGGCAATGCTCTTAACCTCTGAGCCGTCTCTCCAGCCCCCCCCCAAGCTTTTGTACAAGTATATTTTACATGTTAAACATATTCCCGGGGCTGGAGAGATGGCTCAGAGGTTAAGAGCATTGCCTGCTCTTCCAAAGGTCCTGAGTTCAATTCCCGGCAACCACATGGTGGCTCACAACCATCTGTAATGACGTCTGATGCCCTCTTCTGGCCTGCAGACATACACACAGACAGAATATTGTATACATAATAAATAAATAAATATTAAAAAAAAACATATTCCCAACACACATACACACGGACATGGACACACACATACACATGTGCCTTCCCTTTTCCTGCCCCTCCTGTCTCTCATTAGTCCCTTTGTCTTCTTAGACAACTTTCATCTTTAAAAAAATTATTTTATTTTTTCTTTATGTGCATTGGTGTTTTGCCTGCATGTATATCTGTATGAGGGTATCAGATCCCCTGGAACAAGAGTTACAGACAGTTGTGAGCTGCCATGTGGGTGCTGGGAATTGAACTAGGGTCCTCTGAAATAGCAGCCAGTGCTCTTAACTGCTGAGCCATCTCTCCAGCCCCATATTTCATATCATACAAGCATCATCAACATCATCATTTATGCCCCAGCAATGCTTAAGCATCCCTGGGCAGCCCGTTTATGGTGGTTCTCCAGTTGTTCCTATCCTGGGCAGTCCTAGATGCTTGTGTTATTGTCGTACCCAAAGTCCCACAGTCTTTCTTTGTGCTGTCTATCAAGTGCTTTTGGGCCTTCCTCTTTATCGTATCCCGTGCACTCCTCCAAGCAGTGCTGTCTTCGGGCATCTGCCGTCATTCATATTCTAACATGGACGAAGTATCTCAAGCGCCGTTGCCGTATCCTGTAGTTTACTTCTTCCTGTAGAAGCTGTGGAGCTGGGGATGACCTTGAGCTTCTGGTCCTCCTAACTGTACCTCCTGAGTGCTAGGAGTGCAATCATGAGCCTCCATGCCTGGATTATGGGATGCTAGGGATCGAACCCAGCCCCTTGTACGTGTTAGGCGAGCATCCTAGCAACAGATGTGTCCCCGCCCCGACTGCCGCTTTCACTCAGCACTTTTTGGGGAACCCCTGGAGAGATCACCTCTTTTCCCAACAGCCCTCTATTCTACAGTGGCAGAGGCTAGGGCCTGCCATGTGGGGACATGGGGTGGTCCCTGGCACCCTCAGACAAACTTCTTCCATGACCCAAGGGCTTGGCTGGCTCTTCATTATTCCTTCAGCACACAAATGGACCAGTCATTGTCTGTGCTTTGGGGACAGGAAGGTGAGAAGAGAGGCTCCCTAAGGAACTGGGAGGAGCGAGCATCCTCAGCCGCTACAGAATTGGAGCCCGTGTTAGCTCCAATTGGAAGAGTAGTCTTCCAAAACAAGGGGCTCAGCTGGGGTAGGGGAGTCAGAGAGGATGTCCTGGAGGAGATGATGTTGTAACAGTCTCTGAACAGAGAGGTATCCAGCGAAGAATGTGGGAGCCTGCCAGGCTGAGGGCTGGAGGCATACAGTAGCTCAGCCTTTGAGGTCTCTATAAACAGCTATGAGCTAAGAATGGAATGCTGTTTGCTGGGGTGCTGGGAGACTATTTAGGCAAGAGGGAGGCCCAGGGAGGCCCACCCTGGGACTCTGACTCTGTGGGAAGCAGAGGGAATCTGTGACTCTCCTGCCTGCTCTTCTCCGCTCCTGAGCCTCATCATAAGCACACGGGCTCCCATGGCACCCTTGCCACTGTTCCTCAGCTGTGGATTTCATCATCACCACTTGCCTCCTGTGCTCAGCCAGATCCTTCCTTGTGCCAGCAAACTGGAGTGCTCACTGGAAATCTGCCTGGGCCACAGTCCCATTCCCAGACACCTGCTGCTTCCAAGCTCAGAATGTCTCCCATATCACATCCACAGCCGGTGTTCCAGGCTTTCCCACCCTCATGGCGTGGCTCCTCCCTCAGCTGGCCAGACACCCCAGCTGCAGGGAGCCACAGGCAATCCCAGGACTCCTTCTTCTGAGCTCCACCCCTCTTGCTAGGCATGCCCATACCATAGAGCCAAGAACCCCACTTGGAAAATGTTACCTGTACCTAGAAAATCACCTGCCGCTCCACAGGCAGTCAGGGCCCAGGAGGTGGGAGAGAGCCAGGAAAGCTTCTCTGTGGATCAGAACAGGCTCAAGAAATAAGTTTGCTGGACACTAAGTTGAGAACTCAGGAAATGTCCATTGGGTTAGCACCAAGCTTCAGTTCAGACCTCGCTGGACTGTGAAGGACCTGGCTACTAAGGACCTAGTTTCTCTTCCCTGGTGGAAGAAGCCAGCCTTTCTTTTCTTGAAAACAAACAAACAACAACAAAAGAAAAACCAACTTATTTTTTTCTTCCTCCTCTTTTTCTTCTTTTTCTGATGTGTGATGTATGTTGTGCCCAAGACAGGGTGGGCACATGCCATGGCATACATGTGGAGGTCATAGAACAACTTGGGGGAGTTGGTTCTTTTTTTAATATTTATTTATTATGTATATAGTACTCTGGTATGTATGTCTACACACCAGAAAAGGGCACCAAATCCCATTATAGATGGTTGTGAGCCACCATGTGTTTGCTGGGAATTGAACTCAGAACCTCTAAGAAGAGCAGCCAGTGTTCTTAACCTCTGAGCCAGCTCTCCAGCCCCGGGGAGTTGGTTCTTCCTCCCACCTTTGGGTTCCAGGGATCAGGTTAGCAAGCACCTTAGTTGCTCAGCCATCTGGAGGCCCCTTTCTTTGTGTTTTCTTTTTCTCTCTTTCTCTTATTTGCTCGCTCTCCTTTTTTTCCCCTGTGTGTGGGAACTCGGGGCCGAAAACAGCCCAGCCTTAAATTCCTGGTCCTCCTGCCTCCATCTCCCAAGTGCTGGTACTATAAGTGTAGACTAGCATGCCTGGCTATGGTTTGTTTGTTTGCCTGTTTTTGAGACTTGAACTCATGGTCCTCCCCCTCGCCCCGAGTTCTA